AAAGCAAGAATATCCAATATTAGCAGTGTTGACATCCGGCCCCCTTACAAAAAGGACAGATCCTGCAATGTAAACAAAAGCATATGTTAATGACTAGTTTTCGGTTTGTTGGGGTATTTCGCATGAAACCTTTGGTGAGCCTATCAGCTTTTACCTAACTGGATTTCACCCAGGTGGCTTCAGACAACGGGTATCCCTTCCATTGTTCTAGGTATGCAATTTACCTTTGAAAATTCTAGAGTCAAGAATATGTTTCACTTCATAGTGGGTCTGTCCCGCAACTACGAGGGGCCAGGTGCCTTCTTCGGGGGAGGTCTTTTTTTTTTTTTTTATTAAAGAGTTTTATAAATTTTACAGAAAATAAAAGACAATACAAAAACAAAAAACAACATATATAAATAAAAAACAAATATTACCCAACAAAACCCCCCTTCCCCCACCCCTACCCAAACCCCCCCTTCCCCCCCCCCAGGGCCTCCCAGAGCAGAATATAGGCTTAATTAAAAAAAAAGTTAAAAAAAATTATATTTATAAAAAAAAGAATATAAAATAGAAAATATATATATATATAAAGTTAAAAATTATGAAAAAACTATATAGTATTTTTTATATCAAATTTAAATTGTATGAATTTTATCCATTTATCCCAAACAGCAAGAAATTTCTCTTGCGTTTGTCCCTTTAAGAAAGCCGAAATCTTTGCCATTTCCGCCAAATGAGACACTTTAAGAAACCATTCCTGCAATGTAGGCAAAGATTCCTTCTTCCAATATTGTCCTACTAACAGCCTCGCAGCTGTAATCAAGTTTAACATCAATATAACCTCCTTTGTATCACAATCAATAACTATACCTAACAAAAATAATTGTGGAGTAAATTTTACCCTCCTTTTAAAAATTCTCTGGATATTCCACCATATCTTAATCCAGAATGCTTTTATCTCTCTGCACGACCACCAAATATGATAATAAGTAGCGTCCATACAACCACATCTCCAACATTTAGGTTGTAAGTCAGGGTACATAAAAGACATTTTTTGTGGATCAAGGTGCCATCTATAAAACATTTTATAAAAATTCTCCCTTAAGTTCTGTGCTTGTGTAAATTTGACATTTCTCACCCAAATAGTTTCCCAGGTGTCCAATGGAACTGGCTCGCCAAAATTCTGCGCCCATCTAATCATACAATCTTTAATTAGTTCCGTTTCTGAATCCAATTCAACTAAAACCCCATAAATCCTCTTAATGTGGGTTTGTCTTTGATCCTTCACTTGCTTAATAAGATTTTCATCTTCTCTGAGAAAACCCACCTTACAGTCCATCTTCCATCTATCTAATAATTGCCTATATTGGAACCAAGAATAAATAATATTTTCTTGTGCTAACTCTTCCCGTGATTTTAACTGCCAGTTTTGTCCATCCCATTTAAGTAACTGTCTATAAGACACCATATCCATTTTAACCCCTCTTTTTATTCCTTCTATTGCATGCCAAGGTATAGCCCATAATGGTACTTTGAAATCACTTTTATAATATTTTCTCCAAACCCTAAGTAAAGAAATTCTTAAGATATGAGATTTAAAAGCCCAATCCATTTTTTTATTAAATATTAAATAGGCATGCCACCCAAAAAGTAGATTCCATCCCTCTAAGTAAAGTATATCAGAATTTGTCAAATTTACCCAGTCACTAACTAATGTTAAAACCACCGCATCATAATATAATTTCAAATTCGGCACCTTGAGTCCTCCCCTCTCACGGAAATCTTGCATAATTTTAAACTTAACCCTTGGCTTTTTCCCTGCCCAAATAAATTTATTAAGGCCTTTCTGCCACTCAGTTAAATTGATCTCATTCTTCAAAATCGGTATCATTTGGAACAAAAAGAGAAACTTGGGTAGAATATTCATTTTATCACTGCAATTCTTCCCATGAGGGATAATTGCAACTTTTCCCAATTCTTCAAGTCTCTCTGTACCCTAACCCACAAGGAGGTCTTAAAGTGGAGCCCCGATAAGATTTTAACAAGCTGCAATGGAAGACTGGATGAATTCTCCCTACAAGTTTACAGAGTTTTAGTTCTACGGTGAGCAGATTGATGATCCTTACTATGGGGAAAGGCCCCAAGAATTTTGGTCCCAATTTCTTGCTGGGCAATTTGAGGCGTAAATACTTAGTTGACAAATAAACCTTTTCCCCAACTTGGAATGTTCTTTGGGGAGCCCTCTTTTTATCAGCCTGCTTTTTATAGTTTCAAAAGTCTTTTTAAAGCAGTTTTTGTGTTTCTTCAAACTTTTTCCCACCCTCTCACCCACTGGTCAAGTGTCTGGGAATCAGAGGGCACCTGAGGATGTTCAGGTATTGGGCTGAACTCTTTTTCTGTGGCCACTCTGAAAGGCGTGTAGCCGGTGCTGCTGTGCATAGAATTATTTTTTTTTATTGAAAATTTTTAGATTTTACAAAACAATACAGTTCCCTTCCCCGAACCCCCCCCCCAGCCCTCCCATACCCTCCCCGGACCTTCCCAGAGCTGAATACAGGCTTAATTTAAAAATTTTCAAAAAATCTTAAAATAGATATAAACCATAAACAAATCTAAATACATTAATTAAACAAGTTATGAAATAATTAACAATAGTATATATATAAAAAGACAAAAATACAAGAAAATACAAGAAAATAGGAAGAAAGAAAAAAAGAAATAAAAAAAAGAAAAAAAAGAAAAATCTATAAATATCTTAAATTTTAAATATAAGTTATTGAAAAGCTAAATAATATTTTTTATATCCAACTCATATTGTATAAAGTCTATCCATTTTTTCCATACCAAAAAATACTTCTCTTGCAATTGGTCTTTCAGGAAAGCCGAAATCTTTGCCATTTCCGCCAAATAAGAAACTTTAAAAAACCACTCTTGCAAAGTAGGCAAAGATTCCTTCTTCCAACATTGCCCTACTAACAACCTTGCCTCTGTAATTAAATTTAACATCAATATAGTCTCTTTAGTATCACAATCAAGAATAATACCTAACATTCAAAGGCGCAAAGCACTGGCACGTTCATGTGCTCAACCACAGGGATGCTAGTTCAAACTTCTCCATGTCAGGATATCCAGTTGGACAATATAAAATTTCCTAGAAATGCTTGTTTTAGTATTTTAAGACAACTCTTCAGTTTTTAATTTCCCATTTCCTCTCCCCCCCCCAACCGCAATCAATAAAGCAATTTTGTAGGTGAGATGATCACTCTCAAATGACCGGTGAACAATGTTTTGCTTCCAAAAAGAAAAATCTAGAAGCACTTCAGGATGAAATAGGGAAATGAAAAAGAGAAAATCCCTGGAGACCACCCTCGTTCTTCCATGCCAACTAATTGGGGAAAACAGATGGACTAAAATAAGAAGAGCTACACACCGTCTCTGCTAGCCCACAAGGCTTAGTTGCAAAACACTGACAGATTCAAAAGTTTAAGGTTTTAACACAGATTGAAACCCCAACTCCTAAAATTTGCTTTTTTTTTAATAATGATAACACAATCCTTTTTGTGTTTTTTTTTCATAAAAATTCACATTATAAGGAAAAATTAAAAGCTTATGTAAAACGCAGGAAAACTAAGATAAAGAAAGCTTCTGGTGAGGTCCTTTTTCAGCAGATGAACAGATTCATCTTGCACTGAAGAGCACTTGAAATGTGAAGTTGGAACTTCAGAGATATGAATGACTAAGAGGGAACCCAGACTTATGTTATGGGTCAGACTGGGGGAAAGGCCTGGGCAGGCAACAAAAAGGTTAAAGTGCACTGGAGGGTGGAGAGACATTGTCTGAAAACTAAATTCAGAAGCTTCTGAACTTCAAAACCTAGAGAGAAGTACTTACAAACACATAATTTATGCGGATGGGGACGGAGATACACAATCTACACTGATGGAGAAACAAACAAAGATAGCATTGGCACACATGTAGAAAGATTACACCCTTTCTAACAGGTAAACTATAAAGATATGCCATCCTTCTCTGTTTCCCTTTTTAAAATTCATCTTCTAGCAGTCTTTGGCTCTACAGGATTTTAAAAGTGGGCAAGATAAGTTCTTACCGGACTGCAGTATAGACCCTCCAAGCCTCCTATCCTCCAGAAGTAATTGTAGAGCATCAGTTGTTTTGGGACCAGCAAGGCTGCCTTTCCTTGGAGGTTACCAACTCGGGCACTGGTTGACACTGATAGAACAAGAAGCTGGAACAGATAAAGCTAGAAAAATCCTACTCTCTTCCACACAGTTCTTCCACAGAAGCTTGACTGGAAATCTGAGGAAGGTGCCTGCATTGCTTCTGTTCATTTTATGCAAAGGTGTACAAGTGAATAGGGGGTGGACAGGGTACCACTGGATATTTACTCTCTGGCACTGTGCTTACTACGCAGAAATGGTAGGAGAAAGCCAAGGGAAAAAACACAACCATTGACTCAAAGACTGTGTGTGGAGGTTCCAGAACTCTGCACACAATCACTTTGCTCCATGTAAGCAGAAGGAGCGGTTTTGATTTTTTTTTTTTTTCTCCCTTAGCTAGGACGTTTTCTAGTTGACAGATTAAGTAGCTCTTCTCTGGTCTGGGCACATACTGAAACGACCCCCACAAATTGGGAAGGGGAAGAGTAACAGAGTCCAGTAAAATGTAGGCAGGCTTCATGTAACTTTCAGAGCTAAGAGACCTCTGTCAGAGCTGCTAAGGCTTGATTTCACCATTGGTGACCAACTGTTTCAGAATTTGCATCACGGTGAGTTGTGAAATGTTTTGAAAAATTAATATGCACATGCCACTCTATTATTTGAACATTAAAGTACAGGTTTGTGCACTATATCTCCTAGCACTTAACTTGCCAGAATCAGTTTACACACTTAAGGCCCCTTAAAGACCAAACAAGCAAGCTCCTCCTCCTCTTTTCCCCTCCATAGGGCAAAAGCTAAACAAACAAACAAAATCAAGGAAGGTGTCAATAATTTATATGGTGGTTCAGTATCTATGATTTAAATATGTCACAACAAATATATACACTTAATGCTAACCAGACAGAGCTCCAGAGTCATGAGGCAGGTCGGTAAGACGAAGGGCAGAGAATTTGGCTTTGTTTTGCCTTGTTTAATCTTGTAATGTCTCACAAAATCCTAAACAGAATATTGGCTACCACTTTGGCTACCTCGTTTTGCTGAATGGCAGAGGAGATGCAATCCCCCCAAAGAGTTTCTTCAGTATAAAAATAATGTATTCAAAATTCATTCATGTCAGAGGAATTTGGGCCAGGCAGGAAGGACAGGGACACCCTCTCACCTCTGTGGTTAGATAAAACTATTATGTACAAAAGGACTTATCCATTTTCACCTGTACCTCCATACACACACACATACACATTCAGGGCACACATACTAGTTAATCCATTAAGAAGAAAAGCAGCAGCTGTTGGTCAAATCAAAGGAAAAAGACAGACCACATTCCACATATCCTGAAGATCCTTCAGTCTTTTTTTTAAAAATGCTAAAATCACAAAAGAGGTTCTCCAGAGAGGCTGGCAAAAGAGAAGAGCTTCAGGTTCGGCTTGGGAACGATCCAGTCCAAGGCTCCCTTCCCTGCAGTAGTAGAGAGAACCTGCAGTTCCTCTGCTCAATACAAGGGGTAGACAGAAGTTCTCTTTTCCAACGTTGTTGTGTGAAATCACTTCCTACCTCAAAATCAGAGTTGCACGAGAGGAGATCAGCAGCCACAGAATTGTCCATTTGTTTCACAGATAAAGTCCGCTGACAGCAAGTGAATTGTTGCACCAAAAAAAGAAGAACAGAAACACACAAGAAACCTTCCCCTACCCCAAATGGCTGTTCTATTTTGATGATTAAAAATCTGAATAGAAAGTAAGTCGGTGTGTCTCAAATGCTGTGCCAGCAATACTGCAAGTCCTGAGATTTGTATCATGAGGAAAAGCCAAGGGGTCTATTAGGATGGGCTTGAGTGAGGCATGGAGAGGATGCGGCCATTCTTCTTGCCACCATTCATGTGAGTGTAAGGGATGTGCTCCTCATAGTTCCCTTTGAACCCTAGAGAGGGCCCATTGTCCTGCCCTAGGATCTCATCCCGCTGAAAGTAAGAGGCTGGGTCAAGAGGGATGCTTTCCATGTTTTCAAAGTCCAGCTCATACTCTTCTGTCTCCAGTGGCTTATTCTCCTCGCTGTAGAAAAACGAGACTTCTCGGAAAGTCAGGTGAAGATCATCCTTCAGCATTTCAATGATCTCGATGAAGGCGGGGCGCATCTTGGAATTGTACTGCCAACACATCTGCATGAGGTTGTGGAGTCGCTCTGAACAGTTTTCTGGCCATTCAAGGCAGCCCCCATCCATGACAAACTTGAGGACCTGCTCATTGGAGAGTCCTTGGTAAGGCTGCTCTGCTAAACTGCTGATCTCCCATAGGACAACGCCAAAAGACCACACATCTGAACAGGCCGTGAAGACACCATTCTTCAATGATTCTGGAGCCATCCAGCGCACAGGCAGCAGACCCTTTCCTCCTTTGCGGTAATAGTCTGTCTCATAGATATCTCTGGTCATGCCAAAGTCTCCAATTTTGACTGTGGAATCTTCAGCCACCATACAGTTTTGTGCTGCCAAATCTCTATGGACAAATTTCTTGGCGTTCAGATAAGCCATGCCGTCAGCAATCTCTGCAGCCATCTGAATCATCTCTTGGAGAGTTGGAGGGGGGCGGCCAGGGTTATTCTCTGCATCTGGCCGTAAAGACCTCAAACAGCTTTTCAGGTCTCCGTGAGCCATTAGCTCCATAACTACTAGTGTTGGTTGCCCTTTTGATACTACTCCCAGGAGACTAACCACATGGTGGCAACTGAAACCTTTCATCACAGAAGCCTCGTTGAGGAACTCAATACGCTCACGCAGGCTGGCAGTTTCATTTACTGTCTTGACTGCTACTCGTGTCTCCGCTTCGCCTTTCACAATGTCTTTGGCGATTCCCTCGTAGGCCATGCCAATGGAGCCTTGTCCCAACTCTTGCAGCAGGGCAATTTTCTCCCGTGGGACCTCCCATTCATCAGGGATGTAAACATCGCTGGCACTGAGATACTCTGGATTAGAAGATGCATAAAGTAGTCCTGTTGGTCCTTCTGTTTGCCTTTTTTTGATAAAGACATAACCTCCTCCAACAAACATGAATAAAAAGACAATAAAAATGGTTGGAACGATGATGGCTACAAGACTGGTGGGAGCATTCAAATAATCAGAAATGTAAAAGTAGATGGGCTCTGTCCATGACCCATTTCCAGCCAATGAAGTAGCTCGGATGCGCACACTATAGTTGCCAGGTTGCAGCCTTCTCAGCTTGCAGCCCTGTTCAGTGGAAAACTCTCGACGAGATATACAAAAGCGTTGTTCCTCTGATTCTCCAAGGCGTCCATAATTTACTTCATAGAGGATAATCAGCCCATTTGGCTCCTTCGGCTCCTGTCACTTTAAGTGGACTACATTTTTCTCTATTAACACATGAGTCACAGGCCCAACAATGTCATCTGCTTTCACTTCTGGCATGGTCCTGGCACTGATGTATGCTGCAATGCTGCATACTGTTAGAGCTTCACGATTACAGGCTTGGATCTCAATCCGGTACCCTGTGAAGTGTTGCAAGTTGGAAATGACTACTGACTCCTTGAAAACCATCATCTGAAAAGGCTTCGGTTCCTCTGGTGTTGTCGTACACATGTTTAGCAAGCCCAGCGTGGTTGGAGCCACCATGGTGCTATTAGCAACTCTCCCAAGATCTCGCCGCCTCCTTGATCCTTCCGCTGGCCTCTGAACAAAGACTTCATTGTGGAGGTAATTCTCAAAAGTCTTCCGGAAGGCAGATTCTTCCAACTCCTTCTGGATCTGAGAATCTGTTTTAGGGCAGGTACAACAAATTTCAATTTTTTTTTCATCCTCAGTCCCATTGTGCTTGATATGGTCTTCTACTAGAGGGGGAGACCATGTCCAAGAAGGTAACTTCAAGCCCTTCAGACAATAATCCAGTTCATAGAGTTCATTGTCTTCACTTTGTTGTTCCCAAGATACCATATAATGTGTATTGGGATAAGAAGGTGGTTTCCACTTCAAAATGATCTGTAATGAAGAGTTGGAAACAGAAATTGGATCCTGGGGGACACTTGGCACAGAAGCGTTAGTTCGAATGTATATGATCTCGCTCTTTGCCCCATAGATTTTCTGCTCATCTGTATGAGTGACCAGTGGTATAAAGATATTTACATAATCAGCCATGTACATATAATGTACTGTTAAAAAATATGAAAGGCAGGTTTGAAAGATAAAATATGAAAGCTAAGAGGGAAATGGCTCAACAAAAGCACGTGTGTAAACCATTCTCCAGTGTTGTTATTCACTTCCTGTTGTGTTAGATAGTCTTCAGGGAAATGAAGAGGAGGAAGAAATAATTACAACGGCCATAACTATTAATTAGAAGCTGGCAAGGCAGGGATGAGGAAGACAGAGAGACAATGAAGGTTCTCAGAGGAGTAAAATATCCTTTAAGTGTCAGACAACTGACAGACAGCTCCTCTACTTAAGGAGAAAGATTGGAGGAGAAAGAGTAGACTTGATTGGAGGCCTCTTGATTCAAGTCAATCCAGTTTGGTTGATTTGGTATCCAGATGTCATTGATAATTGCTGGATTGATCCAAAATGATAAGTTCCTTTTTTTATACTCATTATACATTGGTGCATACCCTTTAACTTCTCCAGAAAAACTCCTGGGAACTTTGCCTGGTCTTCCTCTCCAATACTCCAGGGACTGCTCAAAAATGCAATAAGTTGGGATCTGCAGACCAGCATTCAGGCTGTCAAGTCTTTCTGGCTCCAGTGACTACCAACAGCTGGATCCAGACACTGTAAGCTTGCTGAGAATTTTCTCTTTCACAGGATAGAAGATGCCACAGGAAGGCACAGGAAGATCCTGACTTTGTTCCAACCAGGTAAGCCTTAGTGTTGTTGTTGTTAATTGCGAAGTCGTGTCCGACCCATCGCGACCCCATGGACAACGTTCCTCCAGGTCTTCCTGTCCTCTACCATCTTCTGGAGTCCATTTAAGTTCACACCTACTGCTTCAGTGACTCCATCCAGCCATCTCATTCTCTGTCGTCCCCTTCTTCTATTGCCCTCAATCTTTCCCAGCATTAGGCTCTTCTCCAGTGAATCCTTCCTTCTCATTAGGTGGCCAAAGTACTTGAGTTTCAACTTCAGGATCTGGCCTTCTAAAGAGCAGTCGGGGTTGATCTCTTCTAGGACTGACCGGTTTGAACGCCTTGCAGTCCAAGGGACTCGCAGGAGTCTTCTCCAGCACCATAGTTCAAAGGCCTCAATTCTTTGGCGCTCAGCCTTTCTTATGGTCCAACTTTCACAGCCATACATTGCAACTGGGAAAACCATGGCCTGGACTATACGCACTTTTGTTGGCAGGGTGATGTCTCTGCTTTTTAGAATGCTGCCTAGATTTGCCATAGCTTTCCTCCCCAGGAGCAAGCGTCTTTTAATTTCTTGGCTGCAGTCCCCATCTGAGGTGATCTTGGAGCCCAGAAAAATAAAATCTGTCACTACCTCCATTTCTTCCCCATCTATTTGCCAGGAATTGAGAGGGCCGGATGCCATGATTTTGGTTTTCTTAATGTTGAGTTTCAAGCCAACTTTTGCACTCTCCTTCTTCACCCGCATCAAGAGGCTCTTTAGTTCCTCTTCACTTTCTGCCATCAGAGTGGTATCATCTGCATATCTTAGGTTGTTGATATTTCTCCCGGCAATCTTAATTCCAACTTTTGATTCATCTAGCCCTGCCTTTCTCATGATGTGCTCTGCATATAAGTTAAATAGGCAGGGCGACAGTATACAGCCTTGCCGGACTCCTTTTCCAATTTTGAACCAATCAGTGGTTCCGTGTTCGGTTCTCACTGTTGCTTCTTGACCCACATATAGGTTTCTAAAGAGACAAATGAGATGGTCTGGTACTCCCATCTCTTTAAGGACTTGCCACAATTTGTTGTGATCCACACAATCAAAGGCTTTTGCATAGTCAATGAAGCAGAAGTAGATGTTTTTCTGGAACTCCCTAGCTTTCTCCATGATCCAGCGTATGTTGGCAATTTGATCTCTAGTTCCTCTGCCTCTTCGAAATCCTGCCTGTACTTCTGGTAGTTCTCGATCCACATACTGCTGGAGTCTAGCTTGTAGGATTTTAAGCATAACTTTACTAGCATGTGAAATGAGTGCAATGGTGCGATAGTTTGAACATTCTTTGGCATTGCCTTTCTTTGGAATTGGAATGTAAACTGACCTTTTCCAATCCTGTGGCCACTGTTGAGTTTTCCAAATTTGCTGGCAAATTGAGTGTAGCACTTTTACTGCATCGTCTTTTAAGATTTTGAATAGCTCAGCTGGAATACTGTCACCTCCACTAGCTTTGTTGTTGCTCAGATTTTCTAAGGCCCATTTCACTTCACATTCTAGGATGTCTGGTTCGAGGTCAATGACCATCTCATTGTGGTTATCTGGGATGTTAAGCTCATTCTTGTATAGTTCTTCTGTGTAGTTTTGCCATCTCTTCTTAATCTCTTCTGCCTCTGTTAGGTCTCTGCCATTTTGGTCCTTTATCATGCCCATCTTTGCATGAAACGTTCCCTTCATATCTCCAATTTTCTTGAAGAGATCTCTGGTCCTCCCTATTCTGTTGTTTTCTTCTATTTCTTTGCACTGTTCATTTAAGAAGGCATTCTTATCTCTTCTAGCTACTCTCTGGAATTCTGCATTCAATTGGGTGTATCTTTCTCTTTCTCCTTTGCCTTTCGCTTCCCTTCTTTCCTCAGCTATTTGCAAAGCTTCCTCAGACAGCCATTTTGCTTTCTTGCATTTCTTTTTCTTTGGGATGGTTTTAGTTGCTACCTCTTGTACAATGTTGCGAACTTCCATCCATAGTTCTTCAGGCACTCTGTCTATCAGATCCAGTTCCTTAAATCTATTTGTCACCTCTACTGTATATTCATCAGGAATATGATTTAGTTCATACCTGAGTGGCCTAGTGCTTTTCCCTACTTTTTTCAATTTAAGCCTAAATTTTGCAACGAGAAGCTCATGATCTGAGCCACAGTCAGCTCCTGGTCTTGTTTTTACTGACTGTATAGAGCTTCTCCATCTTTGGCTGCAGAGCACATAGTCAATCTGATTTCTATGTTGACCGTCTGGTGATGTCCATGTGTAGAGCCGTCTCTTGGGTTGTTGGAAAAGAGTGTTTGTTATGACCATCGTATTCTCTTGACAAAATTCTATTAGCCTGTGCCCTGCTTCATTTTGTACTCCAAGGCCAAACTTGCCTGTTATTCCGGTTATCTTTTGGCTTCCTACCTTAGCATTCCAATCCCCCATGATGATAAGGACATCATTTTTTGGTGTTAATTCTATAAGGTGCTGTAGGGCTTCATAGAACCGGTCAATTTCATCCTCTTCAGCACCAGTGGTTGGGGCATAGATTTGGACTACTGTGATATTGAATGGTTTGCCTTGGATTCGAATTGAGATCATTCTGTCATTTTGGGGATTGTATCCCAGTATTGCTTTTCCTATTCTTTTATTGACTATGAAGGCTACTCCATTTCTTCTGAGGGATTCTTGCCCACAGTAGTATACCTGATGGTCATCTGAGTTAAATTCACCCATTCCTGTCCATTTTAGTTCGCTGATTCCTAAGATGTCGATGTTCAGTCTTGTCATCTCTTTTTTGACTACGTCTAGCTTGCCTTGATTCATGGATCTTACATTCCAGGTTCCTATGGAGAAAAAATCTTTACAGCATCGGACTTTCCTTTCACCACCAGATATATCCACAGCTGAGCGTCCTTTCGGCTTTGGCCCAGTCGCTTCATTCTTTCTGGCGCTACTAGTACTAGCCCTCTGCTCTTCCCCAGTAGCATATTGGACACCTTCCGACCTGAGGGGCTCATCTTCCAGCGTCATATCTTTTTTCCTTTTAGTACTGTCCATGGGGTTTTCATGGCAAAGATACTGGAGTGGTTTGCCATTTCCTTCTCCAGTGGATCACATTTTGTCAGAACTCTCTGCTATAACCTGTCTGTCTTGGGTGGCCCTGCACGGCATAGCTTATAGCTTCATTGAGTTACGCAAGCCCCTTCGCCACGACAAGGCAGTAATCCATAAAGGGGCCTTAGTAGATGGTGGTTATAGTTCAAATTTTGGATTAGTTGATTTTAAAGGAAACTAAAGACAAGTGTATTCAAATGTGTACTTTGAAAAGCAATGTGAATAATGCAGCGTGGGATTCCATGCAGGAGAAACAAAATGGGAAAAAGATTCTAATACAGTCTTCTAAAAAGAAGATACCAAAAGCTCAATTACAAGCAATTTCAAAAAGGATAATAGTGGAAGGCAACAAATGATTAAGCAATGTTTGTGATCACTTGGGAAAAAAATAATTGCCTGGCAAGAATCAGCATGGGATTGTCCAGGTTAAATTTTGCCAAAACAACCGTTTCCTTTTTGTGACAGCATAAATAGTTTAATTGGTCATGGAAATACAGTGGATATACAATAGCATACAGCAATATATCTGACAGAAAGCAAAACCTGGCAGTTGTATTTTGTTCTTTAGCATATTAAGGGGCATTGTAAAATAAATGGAAAGTGTTAATTCAAGATATTATTGAAGCAAAGTATCCTTCTGAAGCTTTGTGAAGCCTCCCTAAACGCTCCTTTAAACTTAGTAATTGCAATGAATACAAATGTCTTCCAATGACACTACAATAAACACTACTAAGCAGCCAATCCCATTGTGTGAATCCAGCCAGATCCTGTGTATGCTCGCTGATCTGATGAACCAATCCGTTCCAACGAAGGGATTCCCAATACTGTAATCCGTATAAGATCAAAACGCCAAGTTATTTAATGCAGGACTACTATACCTGTCCAGCAAAAATATAGACAGCAGCAGCAGAAAAAAAACCCACAAATTCCTGGGCTTCTCTGCTGCCATATCGTGCATAGAATTATTGTATGCCACCTCCACAA